GCTCATTGTCATTGCCACAAAACAGATCTGGCCAGCAAGGCACCTAAGAAGACAGAGATGAGCCCAGGGACCCAGCTAATGTCCTGCCTACAATTAACAAATATAGATGTCAATTCCCATTATGGCAAAGCAAGGTATCAAGGGATGGTAGGCATAAATCGTCAACATTTTTACCAAAACTAGAAGCAGATGCCTTATGGTTTATGATGTAGGGGAAAGTTCCATAAGGGAAAATACCAGTATAAATCTTAAAGCCTAGAACAGTTCAAAGTTTGGGCCATGAAATTGGAGAAGAGGCAAACACAAACTATCAGATAAAAATAAGACTACTCTATTAGTTAAGGTTCTGCAAAGAAACAGAACCAGGAGGATGGATGGATAGAGAGAGAGAAAAAATGTATTACAGTGTAAGGAATTGGCAAACTGATTAGGGAGGTTGAGCAGTCCCATGATCTGCTGTCTGCAAGCTGGAGACACAGGAAAGGCAATGATGTAGTAGTTCTCAATACCAAAGGGCTGATGGTGTAAGTCGCAGTTGAGGGCAGAAGACCGATGTCCCAGATCAAGCAGATGGCAGACAGCAATTCCCCCTTCCTCCTCCTTTTGTCATATTCAAGCTTTCAACAGATTGGATGGTGCCCATCCACCTTGGAGATGGCAATCTGCTTTACTCAGTCCACTGATTCAAATGTTAATATCACCTGTAAATACCCTCACAGCATACCCAGAATTAATATTTAATATGGGGACCCTTTGTCTCAGTCAAGTTGCCACATAAAATTAACCATCATAAATTCCAAAGAGTATAACTAAAACATGGGATTGCCTTCACCATGAGCTTACTTAGAAGGCAAAACCTACTATGAGATTTATAGAACTTACAGGATTTTTTTCTGGGAATGTCTGAGGAATCCATGACAGGACTAAGGACAGATATCTCCTTTGCATCCCATGGGTATTGTCTTTTCTTGGTTTCTTCCCAATAATTAAGGCTTGAAAGGCAAAAGAGAGCATAAGAAAAGGAGGCAGCTTCTTTGGGAAGCAGGAAAAGAGCTGTAGTCTGAACGAGTACAAAAATTAATGGGTATTGACAATGAAAATGCCAAAAGGTGAAGGCAGGGTATTGGAAAAAGGATTTAGAAATCCCTTGCTTGACCTGATCTTTTTGCACTGACTCTTAATTATAACAGAGCCCAAGGTGCTCTAAGAGAGTGGGTCACTTATAGCAGAAGCGAGTATGCTAAAGGTCTTGGGCTCTGGTGTGCCTCTGTGACAAAGTCAGCTAAAAAAGGAAAGGAATACAGCTATCCCTTGAAAAGAAATGAGTTTATTAGTCTCCTGAATGTCATGAATAGAGGATGAAGGACCTTGGAAGACTGAGGGTAGAAGGGCCTATGAACTTTTAAAGAAAAAATATTAAGATGAGATGGCAAAGAATAAAGCCATTTTGCATAAGAATTAACATCCTTGTGGTGGTTTATGTGTCAACTTGATTGGGTTAAGGGATGCCCAGATAGCTGGTAAAACTTTATTTCTGGGTGTGCCTGTGAGGCTGTTTTAAGAAGAGATTAGCATTTGAATCAGTAGACTAAGTAAAGAAGATTCACCCTCACCTACATGGGCGGGTGTCACCCAATCCACTGAGCGCCCAAATAGAACAAAAGGCAAAATAAGGGCAAATTCTTTTTCTCTTTTGAAGCTGGGACATCCATCTTCTCCTGCCCTCTGACATCAAAGTTCCCAGTCCTCAGGCTTTCCAGTCTTAAGAATTTGCTTACTTAAGCCTTTTTCAGAATCACATTACCAGCTTTCTGGTTCTCCCACTTGCAGACAGCATTATTGTGGGACTTCTCAGTCTCTATAATCATGTGAGTCAATTCCCACAATAAAACCTCTCTTGTTTATCTCTATAAATGCTATTGACTCTGTTTCTCTGGAGAACCCTAATTAACACAACCTTCCTATATCAATATTCTTTGGACAAAGAAAATAATACTAAAAAATGGACACAGAAGAACAATGAGCAAGTTTGCATGAATTGAAGCAATCTGAATGGGACTCCTGTAGGATCACTGGGTATATAAGGAAACATAAGAGTCCATAGCCACTGGAGGTGACTTAATTCATTTAATGAGAACTAGTGCTTAAAAAAAAGAAAAACTGATTACAAATTCAGAGGATGTTCAAACACTTGAGAGATGAGAGTACTTCAGCCTGTAGGCACTCTTTGTGAAGAAAAGCCCAGAGCTGACACAAGCACCAGGGAGCCAGCTCAAACACAAATGTGTCAAGGTGACAGGGCCTGAATCTCATACTGTGAACTCTTTCAGAGAGACAAGCATGCATAAAATCATGTGTTCTAAAGAAAAGAAAACTTGGGATCACAGACTTAGAAGGCCCTTAGAGATAATCTAATTAAACCTTTCTACAGTTGAGAAAACTAAGTGAGGCCAGAGGAGATGGAGTGATTTGCCCAAAGTTACATACATGGTTGGTTCATGATAGATCTGAAATGAAAACCCTTAGGTCACCTCCTCTAGTCTAATATTATGTGCAAAACACTTTCATTTTAATTCGTGCCACAAATCCATCTAACTGTAAAGGTAAAACTTGATAAGGAGAGATAATATACTATCAGAGATGACACATGCGTTAGTCCATCTTATCTCTTTAGCATTACATCATCTGTCTTAACTAAAAAAAAAATCAATTAGTGATAATGCATGTGATTGGACAGACTATAACATGCATATTAACAGACTATAACAGCATATGACTTATGCTGCAAAATGGACATTTTAAAAAATCAACACTATAAGGCACTTAACCATAGTAAAGATTACTAACATGTGTAGAATCTTAATAAACATTATTAGGATGTTGACATGATCACAAGCCAATTCCTAGCATAAGGTATTTTAACATTACCAGGATAAATTTCTCTTTGGAATTCATCCATAAATTCCAAAGACAAATTCAACAGAAATTCAAATTTCTCCACATGAAGGTAAATTTTGACTTCTCATGGTTCTCAAAGCACATGTAACCCAGTTTCTCCAGGTTTCAGGGTACACACTGTGAAAAAGTATCCACTTGTAACTATTAAACCTTGAGTTCTCATCCTTGCAGAAAAGTTCCAGAAATAAGCCCATCCCTGGCAAAACAAAAACTGATTAGATTCAGAGATGCCTGAGTTTGAGGTAAACTTGGCACATTCTCCCAATTACCATACTAAAAATCCCGCCCATGGAGGAGCTTATTCTCCATTTTTCATACATGCAACCATCTAGAGGCATGATTGGAGACTATGCCTGCTTTGCCTTTATTCCACCTCTACATGTGAGGTAGAGGCTAACTAGCCTAATAAAAGTCTTGTTTGAACCTTTAATTGGGAAGGCACTACTTTGGGGAATTATCCCCAGTACCCTCCTTATTTATTGCAAGTAATAAAATCCCCTTGTTAGATCTTTCTTTGTTGTGGTCATTGGACTATCACCCACCAAGCAATCAAACACACTCATTGTGTGGGTAACAACCCTGGCAACCCAGATGAGACAAAGACTCCAGTTCTAATGCTAACTTCACAAAGGCTTGCTATGGGGCAAAGAAGCGGACAGCGGCAGCTTGGCCAAGCTAACTTCCTCATGTTGCCTGAGAGGGTTGGGTACAATTCCTAAAGATCTTCATCTTGGGGTAGAGCCCACTAGGCCATCACTTGTATCTAGCCCAAAAGAGTGGAAGCAGTGGTCCAGACCTTTTGTTTGGTGCTCCTTCAGGGAGGTAAGTGGACTTCACCCTGTGGACTGACTAAAAGGGAAAAATCTTTGGATCTAGCAACAGGATCTCCAGAATAACCACAATGCACCTCTTGTTTTAGTTTCCACCTTTTGCCAGTTGGTGCCCTGGAGGATTAAGACACACTCCAATCATGGCAATTGGCAATCCTGATCCCTGGCCACTCTGTGCTCTGGAGGATTGGGAGGCATCCCTGTCACAGTAAACAGCAATCTGTTCCTAGCCAGATTAACCATGAAGATCAACTTTTCCAAGGACACAGGTTTAAGATCCTTAGATTCAGGGGGCATTTTCCAAAGTGGGAAAGGACCCAGGTACATCTGGAAGCCCTCAGTCTTGACAGCTAGGCTGGGAAAATTTTAACAGAAGAGGCTCTTACCAATGCACTCCTGGACCACCTGAGTGAGTTCTTCTCAAGTATCAGCTTTTAAAAAAAAGGAGCAGCTGCTTCACCTGACACCCAGGAGGGTCACCAAGTGATGCAATCAGAGTTTTAGGGAAGTTCATGGGACTACACTAGGGAACCACTGGGTCACCCTCACACATTGGTTTACTTTGGATCTACACCTTAGAGAGTTTTTTGAGAGATGCTTTTTGAGAGGAAAACCTCAATTATCATACATCTGCATAATAATTAACCTGATATTTAAATCTTTTGGAAGCTGGAATCAAATCCTGAGGGTAGTGTCTGAGGGTAGGGAAAACCAGACCTCAATCCTCAAGAAAAACCCATTAGGTTGCATCCTCCAACACTAGAAGATCTAGATTGCCAGGAGTCTCTGGGAGGCCAATGCAGTAGTAAACTTTGTGTCCTCAAGACTCAAACAGTTTCATCTCCAGCTTTATTACAATAATATCAGCCCCTTCAAGCAACTCCAGGTGACCCAAAAACTTATTTGATCTCAGCAGCCCAAGAGTTTCATTCCTCTAACTTTAGGGTACTCAACACACTCGGCCAGCATGAAATAGATACAGAAGCATGAACTCTGTCTCTAAACCCTCAGGAATGAGGAGTGGAATGTCTCAGGAGGGATTCCTAACCCAGGGTCCATGAGGTTTGGAATACACACTGTGAAAATGTACCCATTTGTGTGCAGCACACCAACATGGCACAAGTATATATATGTAACAAAACTGCACATTATGCACATGTACCCTAGAACTTAAAGTATAATAATAAAAAGAAAAAGAAAAAGAAAATGTACCCATTTGTAACCGCTGCATCTTGAAGTTCTTGTTATTTCAAAAAGGTCCAGGAAGAAGCCCATCCCTGGAAGAACAAAACAAAACAAACAGTTGAATCCAGAATGCCTGAGTTGGAGATGAACTTTGACAAACTCTCCTCTTTATGGTGCTAAAAACCCTGCCCAGGGAGGAGTTTGTTCTCCATTTTTTATACATGCGACCGTGTGGAAGCATCACTGACAATTGTGCCTGCTCTGCCTTCATTCCGCCTCTGCATAGGATGACTCAGCAAACCGACCTCATAAAAGCCCTGTCTTCACCTTTGTTCAGAAAGGCACTGCTTTGGGGAATTATTCCCAGTGTCCTCCTTACTTGTTGCAAGTTATAAAAATCCCCTTGTTAAATCCTCCTTACTTGTGCTTATTGGACTGTCACCCACCAAGAAATCAAACCCAGCCATTGTGTGGGAAACACCCAGACCCCCAAATATTTCATAAAACATTATGAACAGAACATAAGAACACAGACTGTTTAAACCACATTTACGACAAGTGTTACTAAAATCATACTTTAAGGTGGAAATTCTTTTTAATCTTCATTTATGGAAATTTTGAAAACTAGAATTTATTTTCCTCCATTAGAATACAATTTTGCTGGGAAAAAGGAAGGTAACTTTTTGCTTTTAGGTTCACGAAAACTGTGATTTAATAGAAGAAAACCATTCTATGAGAAGAATCAGAAACATTATAAGGAAGGTGGAGTGGAGAATCCGATAGAGCTACAAGCAGTCCCAGCCCCACCACTACTACCACACATACACACAGACTGCAAGGTATTCAAAGATTTACTAAGGAGCATAAAGAATCAAAATGAAGGCTATTAGTACTCAGGCAGTTTATAAAAACTATTATCCAGAATATGAAGGACTACTGCCATGTAGAAAACAGGAAGAGGAATTTGGTGAAGAATCGGAATGAGACAAATGGCAATTGCAGTGCACTCTATCCTTGGCTTTTGGCCTCCTATAAATTTACTAGTATGGTTATTTACATGGAGAAGTAAAGGAAACATTCATGTAATTACAGATACAATAGTAAAGGCAAAATAAATGGTACTGCAAACTCATTTGGTAAAAATACGGTACCACATCCTTAAAGTAGTTATGAAGGTTTTGTTCTGTTGCTCCTCCCAGCATCTCTCCTGAAACCTCTTACCTGACTGCTGAGGGTATCAAGACATAAAAGTCCAGAGAGCAAGAAAGAGGAACATCTTGACCTTGTTGTACGCATTGAGGATCTATGCTGATGCTGAGTGGCAACGGTGTTCTACCAGAGAGGCATGTTCCCTCCCATTCATTTATCTCTTTGATTTCTGCTGTTACACCGCCAGTGAAACTGTTTTTCTGAGGGTTCAGCATTTGGTGAACAGCAAATTTTCCAATTTGATGGGTGCCTTTCAACAGGAAACCCCTTCCCATCCTTCCTGGAGACTTTTTGGCATTATTGACCTCATGCTTAGTCTTGACACTACCGTCTGTCTCTTCTGCCAGGAGCTCCTTCCCAAGCCCTTTCGGTGTAAGCATTCCCAAAGCTTTCCTATCTCCCTGCACTCACTCCCTTGGAAATCTCATTTGCTCTCCTCTCTCAAATTCACCATCAGCTTTCCCTGCGTAATTGTACCTTGTATTTGTCTAGACACTTACAAAATGTACATAGCCTTTCCTTTAATACTTGCAACAACCTATCGTTATTTCAGAAAAGAGGAAACTGAGACTCAGGTGCAGTGACCTGCCCAGGGCCTCAAAGCTGGAAAGTGGCAAAGTCTGTAAACTTAACCCTACCATTTAAGTCTCGTGGGTTTTCTTTTTCTTTTTTTTTTTTAATACCACAAAAGCCTCCAAATGATTCCCAAATACATATCCTAATCCTATATATTATGTATAATGCCTAATACCTCATCTTAATTAAGTCCCAGACAAATAATAATTTACCCACCTATTAGATAACCTTACATAAATACCCCATACCTCACCATATTTCCCAAATGCTCCTTTGACTTCTATCTTTTATAATATGATCAGTATATTCCCAATTACAGGTACTTGAAAACTTAGACTTAACTTTGATATTTCTATTTAGTTGCTACATTCTGTACCTATCAACTCTGGTGTCTCCCACCCAATCCTTTAAATGTGCAACGTTTCTGCCTTTCTTCTAATTCTTGGATTCTCTTCCCTAGAGTTCTAGACTATAGTACTATTACACTAATAGTGTATGGATATACTAATGATGGTCCTACCTCCAGTCTCTCTCTTCTCTAATTCCCTGTTTGCATGGCTCCAGTGGCTCTTCATTGCCTTTAGAATAACATCAAGATGTTTGAGGCCCTTATCATAAGGCTCTATCCTATGCAGAGGTTTATCCACCAATTTTCCTACCTACTGCATGAATCCTGAACTAATGACTGTTCCAATAAAACATTGTCTGATTGTAGGTGCTCAAAGATACTTGTTCAATTTACTCAAACCTGTCAGGAGTTCATTAGTTTTGTCTTAATATTTGACAGTCAAGAGATTAAAGTCCCTTCCTTTTAAAACTCCATTCTTGTTAGCATTCATTAGAATGAGTGTCCTAGAACCCTTTTCCCTTCCCGTTCTTAAATATCTATATGCATAAATCAATAACTCAAAAATTTGTAGCCATCTGTTGCTATATTTCAGCCAAGATACTATATTATATGCCAATAAAAATTATTAAAATGATGCAAATTGATATAATCATTTTTCATGAAAAAAAGCTTGGCATAAATATTGAAAATGCTTTTATAATAGTTTTTATTCTCACTCAGTATATAAAATATCATTTCTTTACATAATAACTAAGAAGAGCTAATAGAACAGTAGCTTCATGAAACTTTTGATTTCAGATATTTATAAGTGGAGCAACAAAAATAATTTGTTAAATTTGCTCAGGCCATATGCATTCTAATAATTACAAAATAAATATAAAAGAATATGCACTCACATAATCTTGGAGTGAGATGCTAAGTCTGCATGGTCCCTGAGACTGTTAAATGCAGTGAAAAATAAATATCTAAAGAGTAATTCAAATATCAAGTCATCAAAATATAAACTCCATTTATGTTGTGCCACCCTCAAATATTTTGGTCTCAAAAAGATAGCCAGATTACATCATTTTGTACCTTCTTTGCTATGGCTCACTTAGCCCAACATACAGGTAGGAAAGGAAAAGTAAAGGCAAAAATCGCATGCCAGATGTCATTTTCTTCAACAACATACAATAGGAGGCATTTTATTCTATCTAATGACACTGAGAAAAATTCATTTTACATAACCATGATATTGGGAGTATTTACAAAACAAAAAGAATTCATTTAAAGATACAAAATACCATTTGTAGAACACACACACACACCAGGACACCAAGTCCCCTGAAACGCTCCCACAAATTCCTGCAGGATTATATCCCTAAACATGTCTGATCTGTTTAGGAAAACATCTCTGTTGTCTTAGTTAAGGAGGACCTTCTGTGGATTGATGCACTGTGTCATTTCCCCAAGCAGTTTCCTTTAGGCCAAAACTGACACCTGCAGCCTTAAGCTACCCAGGATATTCATGTAGCGTGAGGCAAGACAGGCATCACGCTACACTTGTCCTTGACTCACTTCACTTTCTCCCTTTTCTCTGTTCCCTCTGATCTCTTCTGTTTCCTTGTCCAGCCTCAGTGTGTTCAGGGAAAGAACACCACATATAAAAGAGAACTGAGAGGTTAGAATTATAGTCCTGACATTGTCACTATGTAGCCAATTTACTCTACCTGTCTGTGTCTGGCTTTCCCATATGTAGTAGTCAGAATCCCATTTCCTGTGATCCTTGTGAAAATCCAACAAAATGAGGTTCAGTATAGCATTCTGAAAACAATGGTGTGCCAGGTGCAAGTACTCTCACTTTTTCGCCAGTATCTTTTAGCTTTAAAACATCTATATTGATATATATTGCTCTGAACTTTAACCAAAAAGTACATAGAAATTGCAGCATTAGAGGGTGACATTCCTACCACAACACGGAAAACAATTCAATCATTAGAATTCCAATTTCCTCATCCACTTCTTAGTATTTTCCTAGAAAAACATGAAAAGCCTCTTAATTTCTCTACCATTGAATTCTTCCATACAGAAAAAGAGGTTTGGAGTTTGAAGCAGTCAGAATCTGTGAAAAAATCAGAGAGGAAGTGGTGTGGAAGGCAAAGAAACATGTTCTAGCTATCAATTACCCAAAGAGATAACAGCAGATTCCTGAAATTTTTGTGAAGGTAGAAAATTAGACACCAGGGATTAATAAATAAAAACTTAAGGAAATTATAAAAGAAAGAGATGGTTGCTAAAATGTCCTGAAGGCTTAAAAGATGCCTCAGATTTAAACATGGACCTTTGAGGAAACAATTGAATATCCTACAAAAGGTAGTCACAACATGACCCTTTTTTAACATCATCTCTTAGTGCTTCATGTCACATTGTCCTCTGCTTCAGGTGCCTTAACATCCCATGGATCCCACAGCCACTTTGTTTCTATCCTTAATGCTTTTGCGTGGGTCAATTCATTTGCCTGGAATTCCTTTCTTTTGTTTGATCACTGACCTGATTGCTGGCAAAATATCGAAGTCAAAGAAATAATTACAATGGATACAAAAATAGTTAAAGAATGAGTAAAACCTAGTAATTGCTAACAGAACAGAGTGACTATGGTCAAAAAAATTTAATTGCACATTTAAAAATAACTAAAAGAGCTATTATAATTGGATTGTCTGTAACACAAGCGATAAATGAGGTGTTGGGTACCCCATTTACCTTGATGTGATTATTATGCATTGCATACCTATATCAAAATATCTCACATAACCCACAAATATATACATCTACTATGTATCCACAAAAGCTAAAAATAAAAAATAAAAAAAAAAGGACTACATATTTGGACAAAAGTGGTTATGCCAACATGTGCTCTTTTGAAATTGCAGCTGAGGCCAATGGATAACAATTGTCCTCTTTCTCTAACAAGAGGTGCTA